GAACCCAGTGCCTCACATGTGCTAGGCAAGTGCTCCACCACTGAGCTACAACCACAGCAAGTAAGGCAAATTTCTTAAAAATGTTTTTTAAATGCCTTACTATTTTTACAATATTACCATGAACTTTTGCACAAAATGGTTTAAAATAATTTGAATCTTATTTATGTGGCTTGATTTTCCTCTACACAACTCTCAGCCTAAGATTTTATAGCAAAACAAAAGTGTTCCGAGAGTTTAAAAGTATTTATTTCCTTTAAATAACATAAACAATGATAACAACAGTAGTAATAGTAACATTTATTCATTTTGGACTTCTCACTATACCAAATCTTGWGATAATAGTTTCATGTTCATTTTTCTTTGATTTTCACGAACTTCTTTTACCCCCATTTCATAAATGAAAACACTGAAGCTGAGAGGCTTGAGGCACACATTTATAGCTGGTTGGTGGTAGAGCCAGGGCTGCTGCTGCCTGCACCTAACTCCTGTTCAGTTCCTATTGCAGCGCTGTGCACTGCCGCACAGTCGGGCTTTGTCCTGGCTAGTCCTGCCACCATGCTTGCAAAGTGATGTAACAGCATTTTAAAGTAAAAATAAAAATGATATTATGATAAAATATTTACATGTCCCAGCTCTTTCCTCAGCTAGATTGTTTCTGATGATCATGATTAATGGTATCACTACCCTTTCTAGGAGATGAACTGTCGCTGTGTGAAGTTGACATTGCTGATGGGGAAGACATCTTTGTATGGAATGGAATGGAGGTAAAAAAAAAAAAAATCACTGAAAAAAAATGATAATTTTGGATTTTTAAAAGTCATTGTAATGAAATTTTATCCACTACATGTGAAGGCAATTAGACATTAGAAAACTCCTGAAATATCCCTACATTTTAGTCCAGTCAGTGGTAATTGCATATCAAAGAGAGACTTATTGAGACTTTCCTTGTGCCAGGCTGTGTGTCACATGCTGGATGCGGAGTTCAGTCAGCTTCTTTCAGGCACTCACAGCGTGAACAGCAACATAAGTGCTGTAGTAGGGCGGGCATAGCACCTGCTGGTATCAGAGGGCTTGGCCAGCTGTGTTGAGTTAGGGAAGGTGGCGCCTTGGAGGAGGAGAGTGAGCTTCCTGTCTCAGAAGACGCAACCTTGGGCCTTCTCCTCACACCCACTGATAACTCATTAACCTCCATCTCCTGTCCAGATTTCTCTCCTAAGAAAGAAAATAAGGATATGAGAAGCTCTTAAACAAAATTTTTAAGTTGTTCCTCTGATACTTAAAAAAAAAAAATTTGAAAATTGAAAATTTTATTTCACTTGGGAAGAGATGAGGTTTGGGGTTTTGTTTATTACAAGAATAGTATATCATTACTAGTGATGATGTTAATTTGACAAATACGAACTATGCCAGGTTTTTCCATACTGTTGCAGGTTGGAGGAGTCCAGATTGAGACTGGGATTGACTGTGAGCCTCTGCTGTTAAACATTCTTCATCTGGAGTCAAGTGGTGAAGGCAAGAAGCGTGGGCGACTGATAGAATCGCCACATGTCTTTCCTGCTAATGCGGAAGTGGGTACTGTGTTCACAGCTGCGGCCATCCCAGCAGGCATCATCCTTGTGAACAGCGCCGGGTCTGCAGATGAAGAGAGCTGGACCACTGTGCCCGAGGAAGACATGAAGAAGACGTTCAGAGAGCAGGGGCTCAGAAACGGAAGCTCCATTCTAGTTCAGCCTCCTAATAGTGAGGATAGGAGGTAAAAGATGAAAAGGGAGAATTTTTCTAAGTTATTTTAATGATAGTATCATCCAATAGAACTCTAAAGCTTTTTTTTAATAATAAGAGTTAAATGTTTATTTCTAGACATATTCTAAATATTGTATATAGGGATGTCTTATGCAACTTAAAGGGGTAAAAATGTTGAAAAGTGATTTTCTGATAAATATGGTAACAAAAAAAATATAGATATTCCTGGGTTTATAGCCTATATGTGATCTAAATTTGTTGGCTATAAAGCAAAATCTTATTAAATGAATTCTGATTAGCATAAGTTATAAAAAATAAAGGCATATTCTCACAGAAAATTCCTGAAATTCTACATGAAAAAGGTATTAAGAGTATGGCTAAATTATGTTCAGATATTTTTTTTWAATATATTAATTGACAATCTGTATTTAATTTATTCATTTATATGTGGTGCTGAGAATCGAACCCAGTGCCTCACAAATGCTGAGCAGGCACTTTATCACTGAGCCCCAGCCCTATGTTTGCATATTTTGGTTTTTGTCTTATATTGTTTTTGTTATTTTGGTTTTTGGTGCTGCATCTAGAAGCCAGGGCCGCACCCATACGCTAGGCAAGCATTCAATCAACCACTAAGCTGCACTCCTAGCCCTGGATATTTTTTTCACAGAGACCTGTAAGGCAGTTCAGTTTTTTCTTATCATCTCTTTATGATACTGAAGAACCTCCTGGCTGCCCAGTTAGAGAAGTTAGCTGCAGAATCACCCCTGAAGCCCTGTGGTCATGTTTGCACTGTGCCACTTTTGTTACCCACATGTGGGCCAATACATTTCTATGGCCAGTTTGTCCTACAAGCATAGCCCTGTGGACTGAGTTTGTTTTATATGACATTTATCACTGATACTCTTTTGAACAGGTGTCTCAGACATGTGTTTCCCCGTCTTGTTTACAAAAAAGTTTATTATATAATCATTTATAAAGGTGATCTGCATTTACTAGGACTTAGAGCGTAAGGAAGGGAACACAGAGGAGACCTGAGGTAGCAGCCCCCATGCAGCATCAGTCACTATGGCCTCCAGTAGCTTTCCTTTTCTTCTGAACTCAACCCACTGTTTTGAAGGGTTTTTTATCTTTTTCAGAATAATGGTTGTTTTGTAGTTTTTTCCTGCTTTCTCCTCTTTCCAATGTTTGTAGATGTTTTGTAAATCTCATTTGATGGTTACCTAATAATAATCTTTGTGTGCCTGGCAAACAGCACACTTTGCCTCTCCGAGCCTGATAGGACAGCAAGATGCGGGGGGCAGGGGGTGAACACTTGGGAGCCAGCTGCCTGGGTTTCTTCCCAGTTTTTCTACTTATTGCCACAGTGACCTTGGACAAGTAGTTTCATCTCTCTCTCTCTGTTCCGTTTCTAATGTAAAACAGAGGTGATAATTAGAGCTTTTTAGTCATAAAGAACTAAGTCCTCAGAGCATTTGCACACAGGGCTAAATGTTTTTAGTTAACATCTTCAGCAGCAGCAGGAGCAACAACTGCATCCAATTTTCTAGTTTCAAGGTAATCTTCTAGGGAACATCTTGCACTTCAAACTTTGTTGTATTTAGGATTGCTAACTTGAGATGAAGTCCCAGGGTGGAATAATTGAAATAAAGGATAGAATTGTGTTTTAGGGTGCTGATAAAATGCCCAAAAAGGACTTCTGATGGCTCATTTTTTCTTATGGCTGAAGGAAGATTTGTTAGAACATAATATTCTGCTGCCAACTGCTAACATAATAAAAAAAACTCTTAAAAAATGAAAATACAAATATATAGTATATGCAATGCGTGTAGCACTCCTGTGATGTGGCTGATGTGACACTGTTGTGCAGTGACAGTTTGCTCACTTGTATTGGCTGCCCTGTTATATCTGAATCCCAGGGTATGGGCCTTGGCAGTATTTCAAAGGTCCCCTAGGGTTTTCAGTGCATAGGCAAGAGTGAACAACTGAATGCTCACTTTCCAACATTTCCCCTTGAAAACTGTGGCACAGAATATTTGCACAATTTTAAGTCAAAGAGTATTTGAAAGCTGTAAGATTATGGAATGAATGGACCGTTGCCTAACATTACCCTAAAAAGAGCTAACTTTTATAGAGACAACTCAGTAAAATATAATCATCTTTCACTAGTCTCTTTAAGGCATACATGCAGAGTTTTGGAAGTGTGCCTTAAAAAGGCATTAATTTTCTGATTCATAAAAGCGCCACAAAAAGACACATTTTTAATGTCTTTTTACCTTTACCTACAGTGTGTTGCCCAAAGAAGGGAAGTGGATGAATGGTATGAATGAGATCGACTGGATCCAGGTTAAAAATTTATGCCAGCTAGAATCTGAAGAAAAGCAAGTTAAAATATCAGCAACTGTTCACACAGTGAGTAGATCATCATTAAAATTTGACTGATAGTTTTTCAGTTAACAAAATTTTTATTTAGACAGCACTGTTTAAATTTCAGAACAGTTCTCTCAGTAGACTTCTAAATCTTAAGAAATCAATTTTTTCATATTTAACACTTAATTATTGCCTCCCTGTACTAGCCATGGGTCTATTCCAAGGAAATATGTCCCATTCTCCATCCCCCATCCATGCCCCCGCCCCCACCCCCCTTTTTTTCTTCCCAACTCCAGAGCCTAAAATTAGAATGTGGGACTTGCCTATTTAGTTAGTTCATGGAATCCTCTAGTTTTGATGAGTACAAAATGCGTTTTCAAGGGTCTTTTCTGTATTTTTTAAAATCAGGTAGATATGTGTGTAAATGTGTATATGTGTTTTGTTTTTGTGTTGTGAGTTTTGTTTTTATCTCAAATTGCTCTACCTTATACTCTGCTTTATGTAAAGCCAACTACTCTTAAAAGGAATTCCCTCCAGTTTTCCATTTGAAGAAGATGATACTGATTTCTTTAAACATTATCTTTTTATACTTATGTAGTCCCAGTATAGTTTTGTTTTTTGTTTTTTGATTTTTTGGGTTTTTTCCTGTAACAAGTTAAAAGAAACTTGTTAGAATGGTGTTTCCTTTTACATCAGTTTTATAATTTCTTAAGGTTCAGTGCTGATACAATAGAAGGGAGAGTACAAGACCAGGGTACTAACACTCAGCAGACTAGTTCCTGACCCTAAGTTGGAGACTTTGGTGAAGTCCTTTATTACTTCAGTCTGTTTCTTCTTGACCCCATATTAGATACTGGTGGAAGGTTAGAGGAGATGGTGTATAACATCAGTTTTACCACTAAATGTCCATCATTTTATGGCCTACAGGAAATTAGCCTAAACTAGGTATTGTGCATTTTTACGTCATTTATGCTTTTGGGCCCTGGAATGTGATGATTGCCTCCAGTTTTTTTTTGTTGTTGTTGTTTGTTGTTTTTGTTTTTGTTTTTGTTTTGGCTTTGATCAGAAAGGTGAGTGGCTTCCTGCTTTTCAGCTATAACTGTTTCTTTAGTCCTTTTTGTCCCAGTTAGCACCATTTTAGTAAAAATTACTAAGATCTATTCTGACTAAAAGGAACTAATTTTAAACATTTAAAATTTAAAAAAAAAAGATTTATTCTGACCTTTTGCTATTGATCTTGTAGAATTTCAGAGATGGGAAAAAGCTTTTTTCAAGTTGGAAAAATACGTGCCAGGTGGTTCATGTCTCAGCTGATGTAGGTGTGCACACGCTGCTGGTCTTCATTGTCATCTCTTCCTGTTCAACTTATACACAGTCATTAGTTTATTTCTCTATTTTAGGTGGTGTTTGATATTCGAATTAAAGCCATAAAGGAATTAAAATTAATGAAGGAACTAGGTAATCATTTACATTTGCTTTTGGTTTTTGGTTTAATTTATTTTGGATTTTTTGTTGAAAAATATATGGGAAAGTACAAAAATAATTTAGGAAAATCTCATGCACGTACCACCCAAAATGGACAAATGTTAACATTTTGTCATATGTTTGTTTTTGTTTGACACATTATAAAGTCCTTCGTGTTCTCCTTCTGAGACCTATTCTCCTTCCCTCCCCAGATACAACCAGTATTTTTGATTGGATGTGTATATAGACATTTATACATATTGTACCATATATTATAATTACATTGTGTGTATACATATATATAGACAGATTTGTCATACTGAATATAACATTCTGCAACCTTACTATTCACTCTGCATCATATTTAACAGCTTTATTGAGATATAATTTATATACAAAATATTCACTTTTCTCTTTTTCTTTTTTTTTTTGGTGCTAGGAATTGAATCCAGAAGCACTCTATTTACCCCAGCCTTTTTTTTTTTTTTTTTTTAAAGAGAGAGTGAGAGAGGAGAGAGAGTGAGAGAGAGAGAGAGAGAGAGAATTTTTAATATTTATTTTTTAGTTCTCGGCAGACACAACATCTTTGTTGGTATGTGGTACTGAGGATTGAACCCGGGCCGCACGCATGCCAGGCGAGCGCGCTACCACTTGAGCCACATCCCCAGCCCCTTACCCCAGCCTTTTTATTTTTTATTTTGAGATAGGGTATTACTAAGTTGCTGAGGCTAGCCTTAAACTCAGATTCTTCTGCCTTAGCCTACAAAGTTGCTGGGATTAGAGGTATACGCCATTGTGCCTGGCTAAAATTCACTCATGTGTAATTCAGTAATTATCAGTAAATGTATAGAGTTGTACACCAATTCAGTTTTTTTTAATATTTATTTTTAGTTGTTGGGCACAATACCTTCATTTTATTTTTTATTTTTATGTGGTGCTAAAGATCGAACCCAGAACCTCGCACGTGCTAAGCAAGCACTCTACCACTGAGTCACAACTCCAGCCCTACCAATTCCATTGTAAAACATTTCTGTCACCCCAAAAAGATCTCTTATACCCATTTGTATTCTGAGCCCGTATCCAGTGACTAATCCACTTTCCATCTCTTCAGACTTGATTTTCTTGACATTTCATACAAATAGAACCATACAATCTTTGTGTGTGACTTCTTTTACTTACCATACTATTTTTGAAGTTTGCCCATTATTTAGCATTTATAAATAGTTTATTTCTTTTTATTGCTGACTAGTGGTCAACTGTATGGACATACCACATTTTATTTGTTTATTCACCAGTTGATGGACATTTGGAATACTGCTGTAAACATTTGCATGTAAGTCTTTGGCTATTTATTTTCAGTTCTTTCAGGTAGATGCACAGGATTAGAACTCCTGGGAAATTTATGTTTAACTTTTTACGAAAACTGCCAAATGATTTTCCCAAGTACCTGAACCTGTGCGTTCCCAATAGCAGCGTGTCGGTATTGCAGTTTCTTCATACCCTTGCCAATATTTGTAGTTATCTTTTTATTATAGCCATTCTAGTGAATGGGAAGAAAAATTAAACATTTTTACAAAGACAAATGTCCATAACCAAAAACTGGCCACAATCCAGATGTGCATGAGCAGGTGACTAGATAGACAAATTGTGGTATAGCCAGTCGGTGGGGTGCTATTCATGTCTGAAAAGCAGCAAACTCCAAGTTCTGCCACATGCAAAATATGTGTGAATCTCCAGTCATTATATGAAAGAAAGTAAATGTAGAAAAGTATATTCTGTATGATTCCAGGAATGTGAAATTTTAGAAAAAGAAAATTTAAGTCATAGCCACAGAAGGCAGACAAGGGATTAACTGAAGTGTGACACAAGGGAATTTGGGGGGTGATACAGATTTTATCTCGGTTTGCTGGTTTTGCTGAATGTTTATTTATCAAACTCTATGAACTCTACACTTAAAATGGATGTTTTATTGTAGGTAAATTATAATACCTTGGTAAAGTTCATAAAAAGTATCCATTTTATTAAAATAAATGCTTCGTTACCTTGTCCTGTAGCTGGTCTCCCCCTTCTATTCTTGCTCATGTAGCAAGTGATTCTCTTAAACCTGTGAGCTAGACCTTGTCACTCCTGTGCTCAGGGCCCTGTCGTGCTTCCCTTGCACATAGGTCAATTCCTTAATGCAGCCCACGGGAACCTGCATAACCTGACCGCTGCTCACCCTGGACCTCACTGCAGTCCACTCTTCTGCTTTCTCATCACACACCCAGCAGGCTGCCTTCTTGGAGTTTCTCTGTGCTCTCCAGTGAGGAGCCAGCCCTGCTGGCACTGCTGCAGAGACAAAGCATTTCAGTCCTCAAAAGTTTCTGATGTTGTAAATAAATGTATAAGTGTTAGCTTTGCTATTTTTTTTCTTTTCTCTACATGTATAACCAACAAAGAGTTTTAAAAGTTTTGGCAGATTTTTAAGTCATAGACCCATTGGAACATTTCCACTGATTATTAAAATGGATGCACAATTGTATTGTGTGTTTCTTTAGTCCAAACTGCTGTGCAGAGTGAAGGCTGCCCAAATGTGGGGGTCTTTTGTTCTTTTTTTTTAATTTGGGTTTTTTATTCTATTTCTGCTAATTAACACTAGCAAAGAGCATCTCTCTTTGGTGAATAACATGCTTATTTTTATTTATAGCTGAGAACAGCTGTTTGAGACCTATTGATAGAAACGGGAAGCTCCTTTGTCCAGGTTAGTCTTGTTGGTAGCTTTCATCCACTGTTGGTAGCTGACATCAACTCATTCCATCTTTGTTTCTGTCTTCCCCTAAGCAATGGCTTCCAATACCTAATGCTCTCTTTTTTGCTTATTTCTTTTTTCTTTTGTTCTGGTGGAGGGTGGTTTGGGCATTCAACCCAGAGCCTTGTACATGCTAGGCAAGCAGTCTACCACTGAGCCTCACACCTAACCCCCTGCTACTCTTAAATTACTTTCATCGAGGCATCTTATCCATGTGTTAAGAAAACCTTAACATTTTTGTTCTCTGAAATGAAATACTTTCTGATGCTCTAGTTCTTGTTTTAGTCATGGTTTGGATCTCATTATCTCTTTCTAGTCTTATTTCTTCAGTTTTCGGTGAGTCATTCCTGCTTTTATTGTTATACTGTATGGAACAGAGTCTTTGGTTCTCACCTAACACCTTTCATTAGATTGGTGATTTAGTCATGGATGAGCCTATCATTATTTAGTTCTCACTGCCACTTGAAACATGGAAGAAGTTAGTCCATTGTGATGGATTGAGTCTGAACATCTTTTAACCCAGATACACAACAGCTATTTGACCAAGTCATTTTTTTATTAAGTATAAGTTTTAAATACTCATAGCTGCCTGTCAACTTCTTAATATTATACAGATAATAATAAAGTATGAAAATTGAAAATTAAACATAGCCACTATCTGTGTAATTTTTTTGCATGAAGTGCAACTTTTTATTTCTTTTTTAATATTCTTGGGTGGTGGGGGTAATGTGAAAATTCATTACTAGTGTGGTGATGCTGAGGATTGAACCCAGGGCCTCACTAATGCTAAGCATGTACTCTACCATTGGGCTACACCCTAGCCTCTTTCTTGACCTTCTTAATTTTCAAAGACTATCTACTTTGATGTAATATTTTGCTGAGACATGGGAATTCAGAACATCATCATTTTCTCAAAATTCTTTATAGTGCCAGACGGTTCCACTTTGAAGGAAGCAGAAGTGAAGATGGGGAGTTCTTTGGGACTGTGTCTTGGAAAAGCACCAACTTCCTCTCAGGTACAGTAAGATACCTTTAGGTATCCCCCTTCCCTCATCAGAATGTTTGAATTTGTAACTAGTAACCTACTCCAGTAATACTGGTGTTACCTAAAAGATTTTTGTTGTTATTGTTCTTACTGCTTTAGGAGTATATCCATATAGTTTCCTGTGTTTAAATAAAAAATGTTATGTGAAAGTATATTTATAAGGTTCTTTCTCTGTAAAAATTTTATTTTTAAAGGGGATGTTTAAGGTTGAATGACCACCAGTTCCAGCCACTTTGTTACATAAATTCTGAGATGCACTTTCCCCCGCATGTTAACACCTATAAAATTAGGAGGCTCCTGTGTCAGTGGCATTCTGCAGTTCTGCTGGCATTGTTGTGGTGTGGTTTTTTGTTTTTGTTTTTAGCGGTACAGAAAATGATGAGTCTTAGCAGTCAGCATCTTTTATTTAATGGAATACAATATATTGATTTTGGATTTAAAATTACTCTCTGCAATAATGTAATAGTTATAGTAGCCTCCCTTCCCCCTCATCTTTATCAGTGTTCATTTTCTGTGTAAAATGCTATCAGGTAACATTGCCAGAAGCCCTACCTAGTTAATAAACTTTTATTATAGCCCAGAAGTCATAATGATATCCTTATTGTTAATATCCTGTATCAAGGCAGCCTATGACATTAAATGTCTCAGCACAGTCTCGTTTTACATAACTTGAGGGTTTTCATTTTGATTTGTTTGTCTTTGCAGTACTACTGGGGATGAACTCATGCATGCTAGGCAGTGAGTTACCACTGAGCTACATCCACAGAACTGAGTTTTTATTAATGTTTCTTGGGCCCTGGGCTTTTGGGGGAAGTGAATAATGCAATCATATGATTTTTAAGTTCAGGTTAAATTGCATCTATACTTCTGGCTTGCTCTTAGCTGTTCCTGTTTTTTGCTTGGGGGACTAATATTCAACCTGGGACAGAGATGGAGGTCATAGTAGAAGAAACATTGTCTGTGAAAGATGTAAGTAATTTACTTTTTGGTTTGGGACACTCAGTATTTGATATGGGGAGTGGTATCCTGTGCTAGGTCCTAAGATGAGGTTTACATATGTACTTGTAAGAATTATGTGTGTTCACTAGAGGTGTGGTTCAGAGAGCTTGAAAATTAATTGGCAAGCCAGCTGGGATGTTTAAGGAAGATTGTTTCTACTGTGTTTTTTTTTTCCTTATCTAAATATCAGTAATACTTATTATAGAAATTTGGGGAATGCAGAAATTGATTAAAACAAAATTCCTCATATTTCTTATCCCACTAATAGTAACATTTCAGTATATTTTCTTCTGGTGTTTTCACTTTTTTTTTTTTTCCTTTCTTTTTTAGTTGTAGACAGACAYAGTAGCTTTATTTATTTATTTTTATGTGGTGCTGAGGATCAGACCCAGTGTCTCACACATGCAAGGCAAGCACTCTACCACTGAGCTACAGCCCCAGCCCCTGGTGTTTTTACTTTATATACACACATAATGACACATACACAGATAYGAATTATATATATGAATGAGTATGATAGAACATGAATAATTGTATTGGTATCATCGAGAACTGGGACTTTTGGTATTGTAAAACAAAGACACAGATAAAAATAAGTGTGGTTAAATAAAAACCTCTACTCCTAAATTTTTTTTTTAAATATTTTATTTTTTAGTTTTTTGGCGAACACAACATCTTTGTTTATATGTGGTGCTGAGGATCGAACCCGGGCCGCACGCATGCCAGGCGAGCGTGCTACCACTTGAGCCACATCCCCAGCCCTATACTCCTAAATTTGAATTAAAAGAGTCTGAATAAACTTCACCTATTTTTACTTTTTAAAAATTGTTTGTTTGTTTTGTTTTCTTTCTGGCTCTGTTCCCTGACATAGCTTAGAAACAAAACAGCCCTAGCACCCAGATTATGATTGCAAAGTACCATTTCATACTAAAAGGAACCAGGCACCTTGAATTAAGGGCTGGTTCTGTAGCCCTAGTCACAAAATGTGTAAGCTAAACCTGGAACATGTTGTCATCACAGAAAGTAATGAAGCTACTAATAAAGATTTATTGGAATTATCAGAGAGACTTAGGAGTCTAGTCATTAAAGATGAGACAGTCTGAACATTAGGGAGAATAATAATTAAAGTATATACTAGGTAAAATTATTATAGAAATTTAGAATATGTAGAAATGGATTTTTTTAAAAAAATTAAAACCCCTCATCCCTTATCTGTGTATGAATGTAAAATTCATATATATTCCCTATCTACATATGTAAAATCTTGATACCACACACATAAAATCTATGGGCAGGCTCATAATGACCATAACAGRAAATATTCATTGGTACCTACCATGGATAAAAGAGAAGAGAAATAAGCATTTATCTCATTTTTCCTCTGTAAATTATACCTCAAGGTGGCTCACTAGATAATATTTTTCTATATAGAACATATTCCAGCTAATAAAGAAGAAGGAATTTTAGAGCATCAGTTTTTCAATTTCTAATTAATAGGTCAAGACAATGATCTTTAAACACTGAGAATAACCCAAAGAAGTGCAGCTCTTAGACACTCTAGAAGCTCTAGGATACCCTTACAAAAACAAAAAAAGGGCTGGGGCTGTAGCTCAGTGGCAGAGTGCTTACCTAGCATGTGTGAGGCACTGGGTTTAATCCTCAGCACCACATTACAAATAAACAAGTAAATTAAAGGCATTTTGTCCATCTGCAACTACAAAAAAAAATATATTAAAAAAAAACAACAACCTATGCGTCTTATCGAGCTACTGGATCTGACCACCAATTTTTTTTATTTTTATATTGTTTTTAATATATATATTTTAGTTGTAATTGGACACAATACCTTTATTTTATTTATTTTTATGTGGTGCTGAGGATCGAACCCAGGGCCTTGCATGTACTAGGCAAGTGCTTTACCACTGAGCCACAACCCCAGCCCCCACATATTTATTTATTTATTGTACTGGGGATTGAACCCAGGGGCTTTAACCACTGAGTCACATTCCCAGCCCTTTTTATTTTTGTTTTTTGAGACAGGGTCTCACTAAGTCGCTTAGGGCCTTTCTAAGTTGTACTTGAACTTGTAGTCCTCTAGTCTCAATATGCGTGCACCACCATGCCCAGCCTGACTAAAGAGAAAGTAGGGAAATTTGAACTGGGTATTTGTTGTTATTTACAAATCCTTAATTTGAAAAACTTTTAAGTTCTGAAGACGTTRATCACTTAAGGTTTATATTTTTAAAAGAATCCTTATCTTTCAGAAATGCATGCTAACTATAGATGAAATAATATGTTATCAGGCATTTGCTTTTATTTTTTCCCCATTTTTTTATTGGTGCATTATAATTGTACATAATGACAGTGGCATTTACTTTTAAAGAATCTAGGGAAGCTGAACACAGTTGCACACACCTGTAATCCCAGCAATTCAAAAGGCTGAGACAGGAGGATCACAAGTTCAAGGCCAGCCTGGGCAACTTAGTGAGACCCTATCTCAAAAAATAAAAAGGAACGGAGGGCTGCGGTTGTGGCACATTGGTAGAGCACTCGTCTAGCATGCGTGAGGCACTAAGTTTGATCCTTAGCACCATATAAAAATGAAATAAAAGAAGAAGAACTGGGGGAAGGACAGGAGGTGGATGTAAACAAGACTAGACATGGCAATAATTGGAATCATGGGTACTTGAGGAGGGTCATTTTACTAGTCTCTGCATGCAGTTGAAATTTTCCATGRTAAAACATTTTTTACCCTTATTCTAGACTATAAATATGTTCCAAATTTTTCATTGGCCTTTTGTGTGTCTGTGTGTCTGTACGTACGTACTGGGGATTGAACCCAGGGTGCTTAATCACTGAGCCACATTCCCAGCCCTTTTTATTTTTTATTTTGAGACAAAGTCTCGCTCTGTTGCTGAGGCTGTTTTGAACTTGGGATCCTCCTGCCTCAGCCTCCGGAGTGACTGGGATTACAAGCATGTGCCACCACATTCAGCTTTTATTGGCCTTTATTAACATGTATTTTTTCATTTCAAAGAAACCACAAAACTATTCTGAAGAGTGACACACATCCTTTTCTTCCTGTGCTCTCTGAGCCCCACTGGGGTTCCATGTAGCTCTTCCTCAGGCYTCAGGGGGCCCCCTCACTGCTGCGCCCATCCACGAGCATCCAGTCTGTTCTCACCCTGCTGTGTGCATCCTGTCTGCTCCCAGCACTCCACGCTGTTGCTGGCTGTACTAGGAGTTTTTGTCTGTCTTCTGGGAAGTTAACGAACTGAGAAGTTAAAGCTCTTCAGGTTTTCCTTCCAGTCCACCAGCCCACCTTTCTCAGCAGCTTGTTCTTTCCCCCTCTCCCCCTTGCCTTTTGAGCATTCTGCTACAGATATACTTGGACCGGGCCTAGCCCCAGAGCATCCAACTGCCACCGAGGCTGTCTGAAATCCAAACTAGAGCACATCCCCAGCAGGACTCCTGGCCTCCTGAAATGTCCTCCACACATGTTTTTGTCTTCTTCAGCTAATGGCAGCTCCAATTTCCTATTTGCTCTGGCCAAAACCTTTATGCCCCCTTGATTCTCCTTGTCTTACTTCACATCCAGTTTTTCAGGACCTTCTGTTGGTTCTGCCATCAGAATGCTGCTAGGATCTGGCCACATCTCGCTCCCTCTACCGCTGTGTCCCTGTCGAGCACACCACTGTYACTCATCTGCACTGTTCCACAGGTTCTTAACTGATCTCCTTGCTTCTAGCCTTGAACCTCCCAGGGTCCATTTTTATAAGGAAATTGAGTGATTTACTGTTTTGTTTTCAAAACTCTAGCCCCTGCCCCACTGCTGGCCTCCTTGCTTTCCTCCAAAGCCCTTAAGTTCGGGTCCCCTGCCTGGAACACAGTTAAGATGAATGTTCTTTTGTTTTCGTCCCTTAAGGAAAGCCTTTAAGGCTGCAGTTTTCTTTGAATATAGCTTTGTCCCCGTCACCCATGCTTTAACTATTGTGTTATCATTGGCGTTATTTTCTAAATAACCTGTAAACACATACTTATACAACTAACCATAAATTTATTCCCAGTTTTTGAACTTCAGGGGGTTAAAAGTCTCTGCTGATCACCACCTCCCTTATATAGAAGGCACTGAGATGATCTGACATGTGCTTATCAATAGAGGTGTCCTCCCAGAGCACTTGCCAGGGTACATAAAGGAATGAAGAACTCACTTTGTCTGTATCATGCCTCATGCACATACTAGACCTTTTTAAGTTCACTTAAAATATTTTAAACATCTAATACGACATATAAATCTGTTTTATTCTTTGAACTGCTAAGATATATCTTCATTTTTTAAATGTTCACCCATTAATAGATATTTTGATTAATGGCCACTGTTTTCTTATTCTGAGCAGTACAAGAGTGACCATCCTTATTTTTATTTCCTTTTGCTCTAGGGTAGTATAAACAAAATTTTATTTACTTTTGACCCAAGATTTACTTTGGCATGTTTTTCCCTCAAAAAGTTAGAAAGTTGTTTTATTAAAACTTTTGTTCATATTTTCACATTTTTGCATTGTACCATGAGGGCACAACTTACACAATTCTTTCCTTGTGAGTTTATGTGTGATCATTTGTGTTTAATGGCTTCTAAATAAAGGTCAATCTCCTTTTATAGGATTCAGAGGTTATTATGTATCTGTGAAACCAGCCTTATCAATAATTTGATCAAATCACACTGTTAATCCTCATGGGAAGGAAGTCGTGGCAGAGACACAGAAGGCAGTAAATGAAACTTGGAGCTGAGTCCTGGTTGGAAACACCAGGAAATGTTTCTCCTCCCTGAACTGACCCCCTCCCAGCTCCTAGGAAAGAGAGCTGGCTTGTCGATCATCTTAATTCTATGTGCCTTTGTCTGTCTAAGAATGATGAATATAATCAGACTTAAGGCCCTGGGTTCAAAAAGGGTGTTTCTTCTTATACTATAATTCAGAAACAAAAACTAACTTTTTTTTTTTTTTTTTTTTTTAGTGTTTAAAGATAATGCTTGAGAAATCTAGTCTGCCAGGTAAGTTATTTATCATGATGACATAATCTTATCCACATTCTTCAAACAATTATCTATATAAGCCTAATAAAAACTTTTCAAACTTTCTTTTTCACAAGGATTGTGGAAAAAAAGTTTTATAGACTGCAGGAAAAAAAAAAAGTAGTTTAAATTTCTATGTGTTCATAATGAATTCTCCTGGTTCTATTTACAAACTAAAAGAAAAGTAGTTTTAGGGTTAGCCTAGATAGAATCCAGCAAGGATGTAAAAGAAAGAAAGCTAAGATTTTTACCACCTGGAGTTATCCACATCTAGTTCCACTGAAACATTTTTAGTCTTATTGAGTCAGAATTTCAGTGCATCTATTTCATGTCAATATATGTGTATAATAGACTAGGGAATGGAATGTGAATGGAAAAAATTAATCCAGAGTAACTTACAGCAGCTTCCTGGGTGCAGTCATGTCACTGAGCTTGATGAGGAATCATGCTGCTTTTATTAAAACAGTTTGTCCCTCAGACACCATTGAAGTTGGCACCAGTGTGTTATCTGGAAGGGATGCTCACGTGCTCTGGATATAGGGCTGTCCTGTAGAAGTACACAGGCAGTGTCTCATTGAATCTCATTGAATCTCAGCAGTAGCCCTCCCAGGGGGGGATGGTCACCCGTTCCCATTTCACAGACAAGGAAACGGGCTGTGAAGGCTTAAATGGCTTTCCAGAGTTCCCCAGCCAGTAGCTAGGCCTCTGCTCTCGAGGTCCAGGTTCTTCCCACCTGCTATGTTGTGGACTAATGGTGCTCACTTTTAACTGACTAGTAATTTTGTAAGGTACTTAAATTAATTTGAAATTGATACAAATCTTTCTGAATTTAAAACTAATGGTTAAAAAGGATCTACAAAAAAGTGTGCTGCAGGGGTTCAGAGACTGGCTGGTGGAGATGAGTAAGAACTTTGTGTTTATTCCTTTGCCCATTAGATGGTTTTGGTGCTACAGCATCTTGCTCATCAAATAATAGCTGGGGTTTTTGTTTGTTTGTAATAATCAGGGTTTCTAATTTTTTCCCCATTCAACTTTTTCCCCATTCAAAAAAAGTTCTCGTTTGGGGAATGAGCAGCAAACAAGTGTACTGAAAAAGAGAGATCTGATTTAAGTCTATTTAACATTTATAAATTTTCTTTCACATCAGTTTCATTCAGATACTCTTCAGAAAGTTCTAGTGCTTTGTTGTTTGATTAACTGCTAAGAGGAGGAATTTTCTTGTACAATTGCAGTTGCTGAGCAATTTTAGYATATACTTCAGCTATGACAAAAATCATCTTTAGTGCTGGGGTTGTGGYTCAGTGGTGGAGCATTTGCCTAGCATGTGTGAGGTACTGGGTTCAATTCTCAGCACCACATATAAATAAATAAAAATAAAAGTCCATTGACAATTTAAAAAATTGTTTTTACAAGAGATTTGATACTTATATATATGTATGTCTATATGTATAGTGATATATGATCTGTATATATGTACACATGAAAAGAGTAAGGGTACAAAGTAAATATTGTATGATAGAAGCAAGTGTTTTTAGTCACAAATACATATATGAATATGTTGTTTTTATTCACAGGTTCTTGGTGAAAAAGAAAGCAAATTAACCAAATTGAGCAGGAAAACACAACTTTTCATGCTCTGGAAGAGATCATTTTAAAAACTAATGATTATTAGCAGATTAAGCCCCATTTGACATTCATTTATCCAGAATGGTTATTCCTACTGAATTCTTATACTCTCTGGGGTTTTTCATCCTAATATTGATTTCTTCATAGGAGATGCGTGGCATTTAAGAAAAATGGACTGGTGCTATGAAGCTGGGGAGCCATTATGTGGAGAAGTAAGAGGATTTCCATACCTTCTGCTCTGAAGATGATTGCGTTTCATATAGGATTTCCCCTTCCYGCCCGACTCATATAAAAAAATTTCTAGAGAAAACTTTCACTCTTTTTTAGGAAACAAAAAGCTAAGCAAGATTTATTTTCCCTTTCTTTGACTGGTTTTTCTGATACAGAGCAAGTCTGGGCTAGGTGGAGGTGTTTCTGACATCCGTGATYGGCCCTGCTGGTGAGAGAGCATGTCCTAGACCAGTGCTCCACCAGGAAACAGAGCACTTCAGAGAGCAGAGGACACTGGAGCTCATGAAAGCATCTAAAGCACACTCTGGGTGCGAGGGCAGTACTGGGGTTTGAACCCAAGGCCTCACACATGCAAAGTATGCACTCTTATCACTGAGCCACATTCCCAGCCCACACTGAATTTTTGACCCCTTCATATTTTAATTTCAGAGTTTCTCTGTAAGTAAATGATGGTAGAATTCATCTTACCAGATAATCACTTGGTAGTGGTCCAAACTCTGGGTGCAGCCAAACTCTTAGGGTAAGTTTAGGAATAGTTTTATCACAGGATAATTTGAATCTTGTTAAGCTTCTTATTGTTCGCCCAAATAGCACCAAACCTCCCAGTCCAAACCCAGGGCCTTGGAAGGAGGCCAAGTGAAGCTTCTTCCAGAAACACTGTGGTCAGCTGCCCTTTTCCAGCCTTCACCTGCCTGCTGTTCACTAATAGCTGCGTTGAACAGTCGAGGGCAGGGGTGCTGGGGCTTCCTCTGGAATACTCTGCCCAAACAGTTGATAAGACAAGATCAAGTCTTTGAGTCYTGGTTTGGATATGAGAATATTGATTCAGATAGTGAATTATTCACTATCTGAAAAATTATTTCCCCAGTCGGTATCAAACAATTYATCTAATATTAAAGTCATTTCCCTCAAAACTGTCTTCTCCTAGATTTGCCCTTTATTTCCCATCCTAACCTTTTCAGACTAAAATATCGCTTACCATACCTACCTTTCCCTCCTTCAGGTTGGTCTCGTACTTCAGGAACCTGCCAGCCTTTCCAGCCCTTCCTTGGCCATTTTCCTGCTGCTCCCATTTCAAGCCACCCTTTGCCTCTTCTCTATATGGCTTCCCTGGGCCCAGGCATTTCAACCACCTTGGTCTTGAGTGCCGCCTTTATTTTTGTTCCACATCCCTTCGGTTGGTGCCCACTTTTCCAGACTAATTTCTTTCCCATTTTTCTTCAACTGGTACTTCCCACTCAGATGTCAGTTTCTCAGTTTCTTTGCTGAAATAAACCATGGTTATTGTCAGTTTTGACTCTGCCCTTGTTCTTTTCTTCATAAGAAATCCTCTTCTCTGGAGCCCTCTAGCTTTCCAAATCCCCCACACAATTTTAGGTATGATTAAAATCTCATGGGGCACAAGTCAAGTCTGTCCTCACCCATCTTGGTTGTCTCCCTATCCTCAACCCTTTGAAGATACTTAAGGGTTTACACACCACAATTTAACATGTAATGCCATTCTGCTTTTGTAGTCCTAGCTTACTTCATTTGTCTTCAGTATCTACTTTGTTATTCACTTATTTATTTCTTGAAAATGTATTAGAGGTTAAAAAAAAAAAAGAGCCTATGGTGTGTTTATTCCTCTCAGAAGTCTTAAGTGACAAAAAAGAATTTCTGTGTTCCCAGGATGCAACATTGCAAGAGCTTAGGATATGTTCTGGAGACACATTGCTTTTAATTGAAGGAAAACTTCCTCTTCCGGTAAGATTTTGCCTCTAAATAGACATTTTATAATAACAGTTATCRTTCTGAATACAAAGGTGTTATATTCTCATTGTGGGAAATTAGGGAAATATAGTCATAAAAAGAATAGAGAACTTTCCCAGAATCCTACCTATAAATATTTTATAGGTAGATATTTCCTTCCTATAAATATTTCTAAATAAAATTAAAATCAATTATGTAAAAATTTTATTTCATCCTTTTTATAGTTAACATTTTAACCTGATTATAAAACCCAGAAATAGTTATATCCAAGGTAATGATTAACTGCTGTTTAATTCACCTATATTCCCAGTGTTGGAAATTTAGCTTATTTAAAATATTTTTGTTCTTACAATTAGTACTTAAATATAAAACCTTCTATCTGGGAGTGGTGACATACACTGTATTCCCAGCAACTCAGGAAGCTGAAGCAGGAGGATCTCAAGTTTGAGGCCAACCTGTAATTTAGCAAGATCATCTCCAAATAAACCTAACRTCTCCATCCTAACCTTTTTAGACTAAAATATCGATTACCATACCTACCTTTTCCTCCTTCAGGTTAGTCTCATACTTCAGGAACTTGGGAATGAAGCTCAGTGGTAGAGCAACCCTGGGTTTAATTCGCAATACCATATATACACACAAAATAAAGGTGGAATTACTAACTCAAAAGGCATGAACTCTTTAAAGATTTGATGCTACATATTGCCAAATTGTTTTCCTAACTAGTCCTACTAAATTAATAACCTTGTTGGCAAAGTATGTGAGGACTTATTTTATTGCTCTTTTATAAACATTGCATGTCACTACTTTTTTTTGGCGGGGGGTGGGGGCGGGGGGGGGGCACTGGGGATTGAACCCAGGGGCTCTATCACTGAGCTAAATGCCCAGTCATTTTATTTTTTATTTTGAGACAGGGTCTCACTAAGTTACTGAGGCTGGCCTTGAACTTCTGATCCTCATGCCTCAGCCTCCTGAGTCACTGGGATTATTTTTCAAAGGTGGAGATATTCTCAGGGCATTCTGCATAGTAGGCAAGCACTCTTGCCACTGAACTATGCCCCTAATCCCATAATTTATTTAACAAGTCTCTTTTTTTTGAAAAACACTATTAAAAAATATATAGGTGCTATTTTGCATATGTATGATAAATTCCTAGAACAGAAATTGTCCCACCAAAATTATGGCCTACAATAATGTGAACATCTTCTAAAGATGGACCGTGGGTCATAGTTTTTGCTCCCATAAAAAATTTGCACTGGATACCCCTGTATACATGGCTTCTTATTATATGCACATGTATCAGAAAGTAAATTGCTAAGTGTGGAATGGCTTACTCAAAGGACTTGGATTTTAAATTTTAACAGATATGACTAAATTYCTGTCCAAAAACCACAGGTCATGAGCTTTAAGTTTATTCATATTTTCACCAACATAGCATATTATTCGATTTTCTGGGTTTTGACAGTCTGCTAGGTGAAAAAAAAAATGGAAATTGGGTGTTTTGACTTAACATGTATTTAATTTAATTTAGGTTGAATATTTGTTAATCTTCATCAATTTAATTAAGAGATTGTACTATGCATTTTTTAATATATATATTTTAAATATTTTACAGGAATGAGCTCTGTAACTACAACCTATTCTCTCTCTTAATGAATCTAATTTCTTCTGTACTTTAAAAAAAAAAAAAAAAGAGGTGGGGCCAGGTGTAGTGACGCGCACCCRTAATCCTAGTGGTTCATGAGGCTGAGGCTGGAGGATCGTGAATTCAAATACAGCCTCTGCAACTTAGCAAGGCCCTAAGCAACTCAGCGGGACCCTGTTTCTAAATAAAATACAAAAAAAGGGCTGGGGTGTGGCTCAGTGGTTAAGCATCCCTAGGTTCAATTCCCAGTACCAAAAAAAGTGGGAAGAACTAAATTAGTAAAACTGACTTTATGGGGCATATATGAAGACAATGGGTTTGTTTCATGTGGTTTGCTTCATTTAACAAATGCATTGTGCCAGGGGTGCTCTCAGTGCTGGAAGCAGTGGTGTGGCATCTCTAGGCAAAAACAGTAAGTATAATCATGGCAGTTGGCAAATTGAGAAGGAAAAATAACAACTTTAAGTACATTTTATGCCATCCATAATTTTTTTTCTCTGTGTGGAAGTGTTAAGTGAAGATTCTCCTTAATTTTTGTACATCACAGCAATTTAAAATGTTTAGTTCTAGCTGGAAATGGTGGTGCATGTTGTAACCCTAGTGACATGGAGGCTGAGGCAGGATGATTATGAATTTAAAGCCAGTCTGAACAACTTAGTGAGAACCTGTCTCAAATTTTAAAAAAGATCTGGGAAGTAGCTCAGTGGTAGAGCACCACTAGGTTCAGTTCACAGTATTGAAAAAAAAATTATACACACATTCATATAGATATATAGATACATACACACACACTCTCTGTTTTTCAGGGTTTCCTGAAGGTGCCCATCTGGTGGTACCAGCCTCGTGGTCACTCAGGACACTGGGAGAGTCAAGACCAGCCTTGTACCTCTTCTCAAGGCAATGGCTGGAGAGCTGCTAGTACCCAAGGTGAGGACAGAATTAAATTTCCACATCCAGCCTGTCATGGAGAAGTGAAATGCCGCTTCTGCTCTGGAGTCAACAGACATTTATTTGAAAAACACAAGGTTGAAAACCAAAGCCTGTTTATTCCTTTTTAATAACAGTACCACCTGATCTCATGCAGTGCTTTGCAACTCTGTAAAGCACTATATCTTATTATTATATCAATATATGATACTTTTTCAAAGATCTTTTAGATATCAGCTCTCAAGATCCTCAGAGCAACAGAAGCCCCCTTATCGCCATGTATCAGAATGTTGGGGCTTCGGCCTGTTCCGTTGTCCACTGGACAGAAGCCAGAGCTGGGATTCACATCCTGTGTGTTTCGTCGTTTTCCTCGCACCACCACCCCCCCCCCCAACCGTCCCCAAGAACTGCTTCTAGAACACCTGGCATTTCACTCCTTGGAGAAGAAATGCAGGAGTACAGTGTTGTCTCATTCTCGGGTGCAGTGAACACGCTGCAGTGGGCAGAGTCCCTGGCAGTGACCATACTGCCTTAGTGTGGGCTTCCACTTCCTCTGTCCACACCTTTAAATCTCTTCTGAAGGTAAAGAGACTTTGCTGGTGCTGGGCTGGGGATGGAGCACAGAGCCTCACACACACAAGGCAAATGCTGTAGACACTGAGCCACACCCTGAAGCCCAAGAAAATATTCTTTTAATAGGGCCGAGTTTTCAGGTATATTTTTCTTTTTATTGTGCTTTGCTTAATTATTTAGCTTTTTTTGTGCCTTAAGGTATTATGTATTATAATTCTATTTTTTTGAACCTCTTCAGAATGAACTTAATATAAATGAGTCAGATTCTCTACTTATTGTTTGAAGTTAGGTCTGTGTATGTAGAGTAATAAAATATGTTAAAATAGATGTGAAATCGACAAAGTTATTTTTATTTGGGTTGCATTCATTTTTGTAAACAAATCCTAAAAATGCTTGGGTAATAAAATAGTAATTACATGCAGAGTTGAATTATAGATTATTTTAAAGCATGCATAATCAGTATGTTTCTCCATGAAATTAAGAAGATTCATTTTTGATAATGCCTCTTTGTTATAACTAGAGGGAAATGTTTCATCCTTTCAGGTAGCACCAGCCTGAAGTTTCCTTGAGACACAAGACCACTCACAAACAGGGCTTTTTCGCTTTATTTACTTATAATTCATTTGTAATTTCTTATTATGTATTAGCAGTATAGCCAACAGTAAGCAAAACATTTCATTAAGGCAAAAATGACAGACAATATTCTGAATTTAAAATTTAGCAGCTTTTGGGCTGGGGTTGTAACTCAGTAGTAAAGTGCTTGCCTTGCACGCATGAGACCCTGGGCTCAATCCTCAGCACCACATAAAAATAAACAAATAAAAATAAAGATATTGTGTCCATCTACAACTGAAAAAAATATTTWAAAAAAATTAGCAGCTTTTATATCCAGAGAGCATTTTAGTTTTCCCATTTTTGGAAAATACTCAGAAAGGYCTTATTATTTAGATTTTCTTCATTTCACAAACAGTTATTGGGCCTTTAGTATATGACACCCACCATATCAGGCATTGGGGAGACACACAAGACAGGTGGGCTGCACCCCTTGAAATTCCTGTTCTGTTTTGACAATGCAGAGGAAACTATATATGCACACAAAAGAGGCTCCAGCTGAGATCAGAGTCATAAGAAAGAAGGAAGCCATGTCAAGAACACAGGCAGGGTGGCCTACCAGCAGTTTCTTCTTTGAGGAAAGGAAGAATTTGGAAAAGAACATTATAGATAGATATTACCAGGGTAAGCTCCCCAGAACATTCTGCCATCAGCGTGCTCCCTGATTGCTAATTCACCAGGCAGTGAATCCTTAGGGAGCTGATTAAAGGGATTCAGATTTAGAGGTTCTTGAGTGACTTTTTAGTAAACCTATTTACAATATCAAAATCCTTTACAATGTCAAATAAAGCCATTACAATGTCAAAATATGGCAGTGTCTTTCAGAAATATGAAATAAGTTTTAAATTCCTGCCAAACATCCACCTCTGTCCTTTAAGGTGCCCCTGGCCATGTGGCTGCGGAAGTTTCTCTCGTCTACTTGGGAGACATGGATATCTCAGAAGATGCTGCTTTGGTGGACCTGAAGTCTCAGGTCAGACTTCTTCCTGTAGTGGGCGTTAGTGGTGATATGGCTTCTTCCAGTGAGATATTAATATGTTCTTCTATTTCCTTTCCCTCAATTACAGTCTGTTCTGATATGGCACTTGCTCTGTGCCATGTTCAGGGGTAAGTACCAGCAGGCAGCGGACACCGCGGCCAGACAGCCCCGACTCTGTTTCCGCCTTTGCCCTCGTGGCTTTCACTTATTGATGCTGACAGGCATGCTGTGCTTGTGTTTGAATCTACTCTTAGCAACTCGTGGCTTATGTTCATTTTTATTTTTTTAGGGAAACGTGGTTTATTGAAACATCCATAAAGCATTCACTTGACATTGTTTTGTACCGTTGTGAGCCATATGTTAAATGTCGTTAGATACAAGTTGTGTTATCAGTCTCCCATGGGGCAGGTACCAGCTTCTGTGTTAGATGCTAAACTGGATGTCATGATGTTTTCTTGTGCGTTAATGAGCACAGAGAAGGCGAGTTGTGTCCAAGTGGAAAGGCCAAGTGGAGCATAACCCAGAGAGCTGAAGAAGTGTCTTGCTCTCATGGACAGATATGAACTTGCTTTTTACTTAAAGGAAAGCATGCAGGGCCTCTGTATGCCTAGCAGTGGTTGGTGTGTGGCTCATGTGTGTCCTCAGTGTATGAGATAACATTCTTTCAGAAAGCCAGTCACTACGCCGGTGAGGACAATTGGGAAGATATTTGTTTTCTTGCATTAGGTTAATGAGTGTTTGGGCCTACTTACTAGAGGCAAGGATTTTGAAGTATTTCAGGATGAGAAGTAACCTGGCTGGGAGTGCACACAGCCGGGAACTGTGCAGCACGCAGAGCGGCTCTGCTCTTGTAAATCACACATAGAACTCCCTGTGGAGTTTGAAAACATGATTAAAATGCAGCTTTTGGCTCATATGTAGAAACAGGCAACTTACCTATTTCTCCAGCCAATTCAGCAGTGAGGAATATGAAAATTTCTTAGGATTAACTTAAGAKTTAGCTATTCCTGTTATTTTTCCTGGTACTGGGGATTGAACCCAAGGCCTCACTCTATCACTGGCACTACAGTGACATCCCCAGTCCTTCGGGGGATCTTGTTTTCGTTTTGTTTTTAATTTCATTTTGAGGCAAGGTTCTCACTGTATTGCTGAGGCTGACCTCAAACTTGCTGTCCTCCTGCCTCAGCCTCCTGAGTCACTGGGATTACAGGTGTGCACCACTGCACCTGGCTCCTGTGAGTTCTTAAATAGACTTTCTCATTACTTAAGGTGTGCTTTCCCTCCGATGTCATTGTGTACTGCTTCATTCCGTTCGTTTAAATGAGTGTTTTTAAAACCAGTGAAGAAATGTCTTTTTTCTTTGTCTAGGCCAGAGCCTTAACCTCTTCCTCAGAGCTTGCCGTCCCTGCCCCAGCCCTCCTCAGAGCCTGGACGGTGGAGAGCAGGCGCCCTGGCAGGCTCTTACGCACTGACCGGCAGCGGCTCAAGTAGGTGTCTTGCAGGAAGTTTGCTGTATCTCCCTGCTGCCCCTCAGGACTGGGTGGCCAAGGAGCCCCCATGAGGAGACTCTTCCTTTGAGTCAGGTGACGGCATCTGGGAGGCAGATGACACTTCTGGGATTATTTAACTCTGGGATAACGTCATCTTTGCTCATTAAGTATAAATGTAGCTTTGTGTGTTTCTCCTGTGCTCCAGAGACTGTAACATAAAAAAATTTGAAGTGGAAGTTAAGAGCAAGCTGTCTCTCACTCAGGAAGTGTTTGCTCAGCCTTCTGGAACTTTGAATGAGCAGGTTGGGGGCATGGATAGTAACTGTCATTTGCCTTAGAAAAAGCATTCCTGTGGGATTCTTTTACATCAGTTCTGATTGTGAGCCAAATAGCAAGGGTGTGAGAATCTCAATCTTGGCCAAACAGTGGACCATTTCTCTGGCATCTTCACAGAGCACGACCTCCCTGTTTAGTCGGGAATGACTCGGGTCTCTAAATAAACCCCACAGCAAGGATTCTGAGTTTTCCCCTTTTCCAGAAGTCTGAGCATTCTTACATAAGAAAACAGCCTTTTGCTTAAGGAAGAAATTTAAAACTAGCAAAAAAAAAAAAAAGAATCATTGTCTTGAAAAGTCAAATGCTATTCCCCCCAGTGTTGTTTTGTTCCGCTTATTACCAGGGAATATAAACTAGGACGGAGACCCGAGATCTGCCTGGAGCCCCTTCAGGAGGAGGAGCAGCTGGGGTGAGTCCTCCTGCCCAGGTGGAGCCCTGTGCCCGTCTTCTCACCACTGCTGGCCTCTCACAACCCCTCAACCTTGACGTCCGAGTGGTGTCTCCCCACTACCTCTAAGTAGTCTGGCAACTTAAAACAGAGTGTATTCTGGAAATGTGTTAGGAGTTCTGGCGTCTGGAATTGAAACTCGGCCACCATAAAAACAGAGCCCCTCTTGCTCCCAGCTCCTGACCAGCCAGGCCCACTTCTGCTCCTGTCACCCACACCACTCAGCGCGCTGCCCTGCTCTGGGTTAAAACACCATGTAACGGGACTGCAGTGTTGAGATCACGCCTCATCTCTCTCCCCTTTTTCCCATCCACTTCTCACCTGTGGCTGTTACCTTGTATCCTGTAACAGTGTCTGTGTCTCTAGATTTTTATCCCTCCCTTTAAATATACTCTTTCTCCTCCCCCTGCCCAGGGACCTTTTCCTGCTGAGCTTTCTCTATCTGGCTCCCTTTCCCCAACTCTGAGCCCTGCATTTGTGCTCCCTGGCTGCCCCTCAGCATCCACATTTATAGTTCCTAATGTCAGGTACATAATTGTCTGCCTCAAACTGTCTTTTTTTTTTTTGTAGCTTCCCACTTCTGTCTCTGAACCAGCATTTCCTGGGGGGCTCCATGGCTTGAACCTGTCAGGCTGGTTCCTGTTCCCTTCCCCGTAGGAGTTCAGGTCCTGCCCAGGCCTCAGCTCTGCCGCAGCTGCCCCTTTCCCCGCTGCTGCTGCTGTTGCTGCTGCCKCCTCTCCAGGATCTGTGTTGGATGCAGGGCGGGGTCTTTGCTTCTGTTCTTCGTCAGGATTGAAGGAAATCCTGGGGAGAACAGAAGTTTCCTGCCAGCATTGAGGGTGTAGGGGAGTCTGAAATAAAACCCAGAAGAGTTCTGGGATGCTTTGSCCCCGTACCCACCCCACGCCCTAGCAGGCATTGTGTGCCTGGTTGGTTCTGAGCCTGGCATCCTGTTCTCTGTGCAGCCCCCAGGACGTACTGCTGAGGACGCAGATGCGCATCCCTGAGGAGAGGGCCTACGCCCCTGCTGTGGACTTGGTGTGGGACACCTCCCGAGGCTGGACCACTGGCTCCCTGAGGCAGAGAGTGGCCGATTTCTATTCTCTTCCTGTGGAGAAAATTGAAATTGCCAAATACTTCCCTGAAAAATTTGACTGGCTTCCTATATCTAGCTGGGTAATGCTATGGGGCTTTCCCAGAGGACTTGGGGCTTCCTGGCCTAGCAATTAGGGCAACTGCAGTTTCTCACAGTGATGGGCTATTTAGTAGGAATCTGAGGTTGAATTTTATTTTTATTTAAGATGTTTGATTTTCCTATAGAACCAGCAAATTACCAAGAGGAAAAAGAAGAAAAAGCAAGATACTTTGCAAGGGGCACCCTATTACTTGAAAGATGGAGACACTATTGGTGTTAAGGTGGGTTGGTTAAAAGCAATTTGACCACTCTGACAAGACACAAGAATCAAATAACACCATAGAGAAGTTTATCAGATCGTTGAGACACAATGATCCCCATTGAGATCATTTCAGATAATGGGTAAGAAAGAGAGGCAGACGTCTGGTAAGAATAGTGGAACCTTGACCTGAGAACTGTAAGGGACAGTGGAAGGAAATTTAGACCAATTCCACCTGTGACCATAGATGTAAAAATTCTAATAATAAAACACTAGCAAACAAGCCTGGCAAGCGTGTTTTAAAGATATTGCTATGTGATAACAAAATATATTTATCCAAAGAATGCAAGCATGGCAGTGTCAAGAATATACCATGGGATATACATATATATAGTAGCCTTCTCTCCTCTACCTGAGAGCAGGGCTATATATCCCATTGACTGAGGTGGTTTTTTTGTTTGTTTGTTTGTTTTATAGGGATTCACCATTTTTTAAAATATATACAACTTTGGAATAGGAATTGTAATCATGCCAGTTTATTGAAAGAGACGATCCTGGTTATGATGTTTTTGTCTCCCAAGGAGATGCACCAAGCAGCAGCTATCCCTTCCCAAAGTCACTGAGGCTAACACCCCAAGAGTCATGCTTTGAAATGTGACCACTCGGGTGGGGAAGCCCTTAACACCAGACTAGGGCCAGGCCAAGGAACTGCCCTTTCCTGCCATGTGGCCTGGAGGCCTGCATTGTGGTTGAACTCCGAGGCAGGTAGCGGGAGGTCAGGGTTTACCACAAAAAGGATTCCCAGGTTAAACTGAGGCTGAGTGTAGGGAACAGGAGAAGGAAGCTCTGTCACTCATCCTGCAGTGAAGGAGCCCTGAGGGAAATGCCAAGGTCGAAGCTCACACTTCAGCTATAGAAACACATTGATTAAACAAAGTAACAGAATTTATAAAACAAACAGCTGTTCCCAGCACAGCAGATTAGAGACCTGCTGGTCAACATGCATGGTTTTCCACCTGGGTCCCCATAAAGCCCCTTTTGTTTGGCTCAGTCCCAGTGGGAGCCAAACAAAATGGAAGGCAAAGGTCGATGGCTAGAATTAATTTCCCTTGTGAAGCCCCCACAAGTTGTTCTCATAAAACACTAGAACATTTTACATCCCTAATAATCTGGTTTATATTAATCTGAATATTTCCTTTTGTCACTTTAGGTGATTTTTTAAACATCTCTCTTTAAAATATAGGCTAAACGGACATGGAGACGTTGCTCACTAGCTGTTTTACTCTTGAAATGTAGAACCTTCTGGTCGATGACAGTGACGACTTCAGCACAGCCAGAGACGATGCTGAGAAAGAGAAGCAGGAGCTGCTACCTCGGGGGAAGAGGGACAGGTAACTGGGGCCTCGCACTCCCCACGGCCTCCCCAGGCCCCTGGCTTCTTACTCCTGTTTGGAAAGTCTGGTGAGGACTTGTGCTGTGACACCAACCACTCTGCCACCCACCTTTTCATGCCTCCTGCAGATGGCTTCCTTATGGCGCTTCTTATGGAGCGTGTGAAGTCCCTGGATAGCAGGAGTCATGGGGAGGCCTCCCACCTGACCCCAGTTTGCACTCTCTTCCCTCCTCTCCTCTCCTGCCACTTTGCCCCGTTTCCTGGGTCTTTTTGCTCAGATATACCCTCAGGTCCCCACCACCTAAAATTCTAAGACTCCTGAGCTGGTGTGCCAGTCCCACCCTGCCGCCTCCACCCTGCTGCTCCTGGCTACCTCAGCCTCACCATCTTCTCCAACTCTCTTAAAGGTTCCCAAAAGCCTGGCTGCTCTGCAGTGGCTACTCTGCATCCTCATCCTACTTCTCTGCACTGCTCAGTGCCTGTACCCTCCCCCAGTGTGCAGTGCCCCTTCCCACCGCCAGGGCCTCCTTCCCTCCACCTGTCCCATGCACACTGGCTTCCTACATGTCCTTTCCCCACATGGCCTGCTGGACTCACTTCCACCTTGGGTGCTTGCTCTGCCACACTCAGGTGTGCCCTAAGTCTTCCCAGAGTCCAGCCCCCTTCTGTGCTCCAGGCCACGCATACCCACCAGAATCTACTGGAGCACTCCACAGGCCTGCAACTGAATTCCTGAAGCTAGGTTCACTCTGCACGATCCTKCGTTCCCAGCTTCCTGCTCCCTGTCTCAGTGAGGCTCACTCTGTCCACACTCTCCACTGCTTCTGCCTCAGATCTACCTGCCCAGTCTGGCCCCTGCTCACCTCCTAATTTTCACCTCTTCCCACCCTCCACACCTTGGGCAGCAGCATACCAGGCACATGGCTGCAGTGAGCGTGCTTTGCCCTCTGCTGTGGGACATCAGGCTGGAGGGGGCAGAGGCCCAGGCCAGGCAGGTAGGTAGGTCCATGTGGCTCAGAGTCTAGATATCGGTGTGGCTGGAGGGACTGAAGCAGGGAGTCCGTAGTTCTGAGCAGCTGCTGGGCTGCTCTGTGTTGGATGAGTCATGGGGGAAAGAAGCAGGAGAACTCTTGAGGCAACTGTCACACTCGAAATATGAAGGTCACGTGTTGGGCATTGAGGATGGAAGGATCTAGAATTCGAGCTCTCTAAACAGGAGGTTTTCTTCTCATTCTCCGCTGTATCCCCAGTACCTAGAACAGTGGTCAGAGCGTTGCAAGAAGTTTGTTCTGCAGGTGGGCGTGAACTTCCAGGCCCAGAGAGCTGTCTGTGTTGCAGTGTGTCAGGACACGGTGCTCTGCTTCCCTTCCCCAGTCCTTCCAGCGTCAGCTGCCTCCAGGGAAGTCATCCATGTCTCCTTGAACYGCGGGCACCATCCTTTCTGTTCTTCCTCTTGCGGATGGTTCCTGCAGCACTTTTTGCAAACAAAAGTTTGTGTAGCTGTCACCAAGAGTCTAACCTGCTGAGCCTAACCTGTCCTAGTCACATGGTATCAGAACAGTTGTGTCCTCAGAGCCACCACTCATGCCTTCCTCCATCCCAGCATTGTTGGGTATGTGGTGACCACGCTGATTATTATTTTCATTTTATTTTTYGGAGAGTTAATAGTCACATGCTGCCAAATGCAAACACAATGAAGTGCCTGCACCTGTTTCCCCAGACAGTCCCCCCCCCAGGGACCAGCATGACAGTCACATGCACAGCCTTTGAGCACATGCTCTTCCTTCTTCCTTGACATGGGAATTTCCTGGTGCACTTGCTGCCCCTGGCACRCGCTGGGAGTGTGGCACGTTGCTGCAGTGTGCGAGTGGACCCTCATTTAGGAAATGACACCCATCTCACAGACTGCAGATGTGGRCCCATCTGGGGCTCGTTCTGTGAGTAGAGGGACTGGGTCAAAGGGTAAGGCTGTTGACAATCTTGGAAACATACTTGCAAATACATGAAGAGCTGACAGGCCAACCCCCGGGAGGTCTGAGCAGACAGTTCGCAGAAAGGAAGCGCAGCCGCCTGCCAGCGCGGACCGCTCACTCACTGATAAGAGACCACTCAGGTTGCCACACGCCCCAGCACTGCTGCAGAGGGAAGCACAAGGCTGGTGGCCTAGCAGGCACACAGTGCCTGGGACAGTGTCCCCTGCTTGCAGGTGTGGGCTCAGAAGGACCCTGGGAAACAAGGCAGCTCCTACACTGTTGAAGCACAGGCCCACCAGACATGGACCCAGGATACACGGCAGCTTGATTCACTATGGCCAGGTCCCAGGCATGGTCCAGATGCACAGCAGGGGACAGATCTGAGTCATGAGTGTCCACAAACACATGCGCGCGCACACAAACCACACAGACATCAGATTGAGCAAAAGAAGCCAGACAGAGCACCCAGGTTACTCCTGGGGGTGGGAGGTCACAGCAAGAACTAATCTGCTGGGAGTCAGAGTGGCAGCACTCTCAGGGCTGGCAGAAGCTGCCTCATGTCCCACAGGTGTGAGCGTTTGTGAGGACAGGTGGGGCTGTGTGTGAAGTGTGTGCACCATGCATGTTAGAGTTGAGTTTAATGTGAAAAAAAGTAGGTGCTACTAGTAGGCGGGAAGAGACCCAGAGTCTGGCAGTCTGGGTGGCCAGGGTACAGCAACCACTGTCCCCTTCATGGGGTTGGCGGGAAGGTAAACTGGAGTCCTCTGGGGGGCAATCTGGAAATACCAGTCCATGCTGCAGACATGTCCATGTCGGCCTGATCTAACCTGACCCTTGATATTGGGATGTATGTTGGCGTCACCCTAGACCCTTCAGCACGAGGACCACAACCGAGTCATGATGGCTTCTGTCTCCCACAGCCAAGAAGTCCTTTGTGCACAGAGCAGTGATGTCTCCAGTGCAGGGACACCTGCCCGGCCCCGAGGACCAGAAGCTTCTCTGTCTATTCACGTTGGGAGCTTCAGATAGCGCTTGCAACAGGATGTGTCCCAGCACAATGCCCAGGCTCTGCACAAAGCCAGCTAACCATCAATGCCTTAGAAGCAGGAGAGTGGTTTGTGGGTGACAAGTTGGCTGCATCCTCGGATCTCAGATCCTCGTCTTCACCTGCCAACACAGGGACAGCTTTTCTCAGGCTGGGCAAACGTACTCCATAGCTCAGCTCCACAACATACCTTGGCCCATGGGAGTCAGCACAGACCCAGGTACTGTGCAGGAGCCATGCAAGTGTTGACCTCACGCCACACCTGACCCCAGTGGCCTTTTTTCCAGGAAGCTTACCACTTGTGCATTAACCACAGGTATGGACAGGTGGCTTATTGCTAACTCAAGATAAACTTGTGTAAGATCCACATGTGTATAGTTGCTTCCACTTTAACCTGCATTGAAGTGGGTTCTGATGGCCTGTCCCATGCTGCAGAGGGCGCTGTGCTTATTTATATCAGAAGGAAAGGGTAACCTGTGCCTCCCAGTCTCCGTCCCCCACACGGTTCTCTTAGGTGACACCTTTCTTGTTTGAGCTGTGGCTCTGACACACAAAGCACACCGCCACAGAGAAGGAAGCCTCAGGTGAGGCCCACCTCGGGGTCTGAGGTCAGAATACTCTTGCTGCTGCCCACAGTTCCTTGGCCTCTCCCGCTGGAAGGCTGGTAGGAGGCAGGACCAGGGGACAAGGCCCCAGTTGTGGGTTCCCAGATGTCTTAGGCAGGCTCAGTTGACATTGAGTAGCCTCAGTTGATTAAAACAGATGGGGAAAAAATGTATAAAGTAAAATTTTTCCCCTTAATTCAACACAGGTAACTATTCAATTTAAATTAAATTTAAGGGATTTAAATAGCATTTGAGAGCTAGCACTGCATTAGAGTTGACCAATCTAGGGTGCTGGACTGGCAACATCTCCAGCACAATCCTGAGTTGTCATGTACATGCTCCCCCTGGTGGTCACCTGTATTTCAGTTCCCCATCAGCCCTCACTGCCTAACACTAACACAGCTGAGGGCCGAGATGGGGAGGCACTGACAATGCAGCTTAGCACTTCGGCTGCAGCCCTGGCTGAAGGCTGTCCTGCTGTGGCTGCTACCTTCTCAGCCCTGGATACTCAGCAGGTAGCCCTGCTTCCCCCTTCCCAATCCCCCCAACACCAGGTGTCTTCAGTCTTTGTAGAAGCACTTGGGTTCAGACCTACAAGCCAGGGGGTTGTGCAACATGGAAGTCAAGGCCCAGTCCTCTAGACACGCCCCGAGGGGTGCGATGATGTGTGAACTAGGCCTCAGTCCTGTGGCTCCTGCCCAGGCCTGCTGTCAGCTGCTGTGTTGGTTACTGAGGCTATTTTCCCAGCGTGCCTTCATCCCATCTTAATATTAATGTAATAGCTGAAACATTCTGCTTTGAGGAGCCAGAGGCCTTCCCAAACCTCTGAAATATTCTCAGTGCTGGCCAGCAGGGGGCGCCCACCTGGGTGCTTGCTGGGTTTTTTGTTTTTGTTTTCCAACTGGGCATGGGGAGAAAGCTATTTTAAGGAAAAAAATAATAAACCATTTTTAAAGTTGTAGTCTTCCATTTCCTTTATACGCATCTGCTTCGTGTTCTACTTGCTTGAGATACGCTGTAGAGGCCTTCTTTCCCAGGCCCACGTCAAATGCTAAATAAACATGGCTTGCATTTAGAAGTAGCGTGCCAGTGCGGCTTTGGAAATCGAACAAGTATGTTGGGGTTTTAAATGAATCCAGATTCATGGGAAAACTGTAGTGGAAGAAACTGGATGTCTTCTGGTCCTCCTCCTTGTCAGGGTAGGGCTGGCGGAGGAGTGGAGCCGCAGGAAACGTGTTTCTTCAACTGCGACTGTTCTTCTGGCAACAGGAATGGGCAGGGCAGGGGCAAAAGTTACTAATAATCCAAAACTGTGGCTTCACTGACACTGGTTTCCCTTGGGAACAGACTCGACAGCAAGGGACCCGTGATGGCRGCACCTTCACCTATCAGGACAGGGCACTAGCAGCCCCTCATCTAGCTCCGCCCACATCTGAAGCCTGGCCCTGATGGRGTTTAAAACAGCATGTGGCACTGCCCCTGTCCTCTTCAGGGAGGCACCGCAGGGCTGAGCGCCTTGGCCCAACTCAACTTCCCACCCCCCAGGCTCAGTTTTTTAACCAGGAGACCAGACCCCACGGTGACTTTCTGTTTTGCTTTTCAGCACCCAAAATTCAGCCCATATTTAGAGCAGCTGAAAAAAAATCTGAATTCAGTTTGGCAACCAGTATTTTAGTCAATGCGCCGGAAAGTTGATAAGGACTCAGGGCATGACGATCAAAACAGGCTGGTTTATTTATACACAGAACAAGGTATTTACAGCTCTGCTGGGCTATGTACATAACAATACAAGAGGCGGCTGCTTTCTGGTGGCCACTATATAAATTAAGATTATAAATAGAGGGGTGAGCCCCAACCCGGGCACAAGGCCTCTTCCCCAAGACCTAAGCGGCCCCTCCCTTCCCTTCCCTACACTCTTCGCCCTGGGACTCTGAGCAGCTGACCCAAGAAAGGCAGAACAGGAGGACCATGGCCTCGGCCCCAGGCGTGTGGCACAGGCCATCAGTGCTCCTCCTAGGCCCTTCGCTTCCGACTCTGAGAACTGTGGTGCATTTCTGTGTGACCAGTGTTGGAGTCACTGACAACACCAACTGTAACACCCCCAGCCCAAACCCAGTGCTTCCCCCAGAGGAAGACTGAGGACTTGAGGTGGCCCCAGTGCAACTGTCGGCTGCTTCTTGTGTCCCCTTCTAGCCTAAGGTCCAGTCTGACCCAGGGCTTGTAGTACCACAGGCACAGGATTGTCACCTCCACGGTTATCCTTTCCCACTTGGAAATCAAATGTCTCCCAGGGCTGGATGACTACTGTCTCCACCAACACTACCTCAGGGAGGCGGCAAAGTCCATGCTTGGTCTCCACCCAGGCACCCGCACCACTGGAATTGGGCCTGTGGTAGACACGCTGACTCCACACTCGACTGGAGCCCGGCCCCCAGCAGGACCACTGTGGGGAGTGTTCGCAAGGCAGAGCACACAAGACCCTGCAGACCCTGGACAGTCCACACACCGCTCAGCAGGTACCTCTGGAGTGCCCCGAGCAGCTCCCCACCCAGCCTCCCCACATTAGATGGGGTCACCCCACTAAAGGGCTGGGCGGTGCATGGAGACACTCACACTGCCTTCTCTCGGGYGTACAGCTGCAGCCTGGCACCTTCCTCAGGAGGGGGCTGTTACAATGTTACAAGACCTTTCCAGTCCCTAGGGCAGCTTCCTAACAACCAACTTCAAAAAGGAAAGAGAGGGCTGAGTCAGTGGCAGTGAGGACCAAGGGCGAAGGACTCGGCCCTGCCCTGGCGCTGGAGCTAGATCCCCGAACAGAGGCAGGGCAGGAGTCGTGGGCCAGAGTCATCCAGCCCAGGGAACCACTTGATTTGGCCCAGAGTCTGCAGACAACCTTCAGGGACACCAGGCCTGGCAGCAGGAGACTAGATGCTAGCCCATGGCCTGAGAATCTGGGCCTCCTGATAGGAAGAAGGACCCAGCCCACCCAGGGACGTGCTCCTGGAAGCCCATACACTCTCCCACAGAGAGACAGCTTCCTCAGACCCGGGAAGCTTCTCCTCCCCAGAAGTACTGAGCTAACCCCAACCCACACACCCTTGTCGCTCCAAGCGGGACTCCTGAGGTCCATGGTATCCTGTAGACAGGAGGGATGTCCATGCCCACAGCCCAAGAGAGGATGCAGAGGAGGACTGCAGGCCTGCAGCGAATGAGGAAGGCCTGAGAGCTGAGGAACAGAACCACGTGCTGCCTTGGCTGGACGAGAACGTTGCTCTCCTCCTCTTTAGAGCAGGTTAAAGCAAACAGAACTCAAAACAAGTCCGTTCACTTTCAAGACCAGCAGAGTGCACAGCCTTTGTTAGAAACAAAAACCTTCTGAATGAACAGGGCAGTAGCAGTGGGCTGCCTCGCGGGGCTGCTGGGAAGAGCCACAGGGTGGCTGTCAGGCACAGAGAATGTTCTGGCAGGGGCCCACCACGCACTGAGCCCAAACCATGCTTCTGAGAGCCAGCAGGGGCAGAGACGGTGCCACCAATGTGGCCAACAAAGCACACGCAGAGGGGCCCACAGGGTAACCCAGGCTCAGGGCCTAGGCAAGTTTCTGCAGAAGCATCTGGTACCCAGAGTCCCTGTGGCCCACGACAGGTCAGTGAGAGCAGGACTCTGAGCTGGGAAAGGTGGTGTTTCAAAGGTAGCTGTGTTGGTATGTTCAGGACTCCTGGAGCTGTTATGGACGGGAGTCGAGAGCGGCTTCCTGTCACTAACAAAGGGAGTAGCACCATGAGAGGCCAGGGGCAGTCCTCCCTGGGCCTCAGTCGCGGGAGGAGCGGAGGATGCAGGCCGAGAAGGCAGAGGCTAGGCCTCGGTGGCAGGGGAGCCCCGGCTCAGTTCCTTGATTCCACACAGGATCCTCTTCATGTGTCCCACTTTGGTTACGCCAAGGTCCTGCAACAGAGAGGACAGCCACCATGGATGCCAGGAAGGGGGCCCAGACCAAAGGGCTCTACAGATGGGTCTGTACAGCGGACCCTTCCCACTCTGCTTCCTGAGCACAGATGAGGGTGAGAGAGACGACGACAGTGGAACAGACAGAAATGGCACAAATCACGATCGCATGGACACCTAGCACACCGTTCCTGTGTCCTCCAAGTCACTGACGCCGCCGTCAAGAAAGATCCAACAAGATAAAAATCAAAACACAGGCCTAGGAGCAAGTGGATGGCAGGTGGCCTCAGGAGAGGCACTGCTAAGAGGGGCGGTGGCCTTTTGCCTTCTCAGGACTTGGCCAGTAACAATGCCCAGAAGACAGGCTCCACAGGCTGACTCTACAAGTCAAGGGCAGTGGGTGCAGACCCAGGGGCACATGCACGAGGCGAGCTACCTCAGCACCTGCCCAGGAGCAGCACAGAGAAGTCRCATTATGTGACAGGGCTCCAGAAATCCTTCCCACTCACAACTTAAC